TAGATCTTCCCTCACCATCTCGTACCTCTTCACAGAAGTGACTCATAGGTGAGAAACACACGTGACAACCATCCACAAAGTCTTCCAAAACTAGATGTCAGCACAGATATGAAGATACTTCAATGTATATGAGACATTCAGTCAAGGAACAGCTAAACTTCAGAGAAATCACATCATTCCGTACACATTCATTAGGCATGTCATCACAGGCCCTGAACTGCAAAGATGTGACCAAGAGAGCCTCTCCCTAAAAGGTGGCAACAGTTCTGTTCGGTTTACATGTAAACAAGTGATCACAGAGCATGGTGATGAGCGCCCAGAGATATGCTGGACAGAGTCTGACAGAGCACAGAGGGAATCTGGGAGCATTCGGGAAGGCTCTGTGAAAAGATGCAGTGCAGTAGAAAGCATTGTAGAATCAGACAAGATAAGAAACCAGTCCGGGTGCTAACTACTTATGTAATTTGACCAATAATTAAAGCGTTCTAAGATGTGGCTTCTAAATCAATAAAATGAGGAGAATAATATCTCTACAGGTAGCTTATTTTAAGAAGGAAAAGAGATAATGTGTGGAAAGCAATCAGCATGGTTTCTTGAAAATAAGGAGCAGTTGATAAACTGTACTGATGTTATTATTATGCCGTCTTGAAAAAAGGTACCAGTGATCTCTGGTGCCTTAGGACAGGTAGCCACGGTGTCACTGCCACTGGTCTCCAGACGCTGTGTGGGGTTCACAGGTATCGTACTGTCTGAATTAATACCTTAGCTGCGGGCTACCTACAACTAGGAGGGCAACACTAAGCAATGCGGTTCAAGAGTGGTCAAGTTCACCGGCCACATCACCTTCTGTAAAGGTCAGAGGTTCACTCAGGAGGAAGAGGCCAGGGTTATTACCTTAGTAATATCAATAGGAGAGCAAACACAGAGCGAAAATCTCTCTTATCTGCCATGATAGGGGCCATATATTAGTCAACACACGTAGTAGCAAATGGCAGTATGTCTGATTCACTCATTATTACCGATGGTCATCACGTGGTAAGAATGGAAAGAGAAAAAGTTAAAGTAGAAATTTCCCGAGTATGAAAAACCCGCAAATGCAGGAGGCATCGCAGAGTACTAAGGGGATGAGAACACGGGGATGCACTGGACAAAGGCATCTTAAGGCTGCTGTATGCCAAGCTAAAGAGTGTATCTTCTTCCTGTGGGTAATGGACAGGTGCTGAAGTCTTTAAGATGAGCTAAGATAGGTTTTAATCCATTGTTTTGTCTATTGTTTCAACCTCATGTCCACATTTAATAAGTACTGCATAAGGTTATACTTATGTTTCTGCAATTCTAGGATGCTTTTCCAAGATACATATACGTAAGTACAAATGTTTGAGATATCTCTTTGTCAGCTATCTCATCACTTAAAATGAATCTCAAATTATTTTTTTAAGGCAGCAGTATGTTAAAATTAGGGTTTGTAGATGTTCCAAACAACACTTGACTTCTTGCCTGCCTGTTAAGGATTAAGAATTCTCCCTCCCTCCCTTTTATTCACTACACATTTATTCAACCTCTACTACATAAAGTGCCACACATAATGCTAGACTCTTTTTTTAAGTAGGCTCCATGCCCAATGTGGAGCTTGAACTCATGACCCTGAGATCAAGAGTGACATGCTCCACTGACTGAGCCAGCCAGGAGCCCCTAGATGCATGATAAAACCTTAAAAGTACATCCTATGTTAACTATAATATGCATCTTCTGTTCCTATGGAGATTTAATAAATAGGAGTATCAACAGATCTATTTTTCCACATTGTACTTTTAAATAATGACAGAAACTTTGATATTTTCCTTTAAATGATTTCCCCTTTGTAGAAAACCTGGGTGGCTCAATGGGTTAAGCATCTGACTTTTGACTTCAGTTCAGGTCATGATCTCAGAGTTGTGAGATCGAGTCCCGTGTCGGGCTCCAGGCTGGGTGTGGAGCCTGCTTAAGATTCTCTCTCTCCCTCTGTGGCCCCCACCACTCTTTTACTCTCTCTCTCTCTCTCAAAAAAAAAAAAAATTCCCCTTTAAGCTGTTCAATTAAATACATACACACATACACAAGCAAGCAAGCTGGTAAAAGGGTTTTAAGAAAGACTGCAAGAGTCAGGTGAATGTGAAGTAAACAGAACAAGGAAAAGAAAGGGAAGAAAAAGAGCCCAGAGAAGTGCTCTCTAATTAAAGTCTGAAGCATGAAGCATCTTCCAGAAACCTAAGAAGGCATGGTCCTACCAATACAATTATCAAGGAACCCTCACTGCGAGGGTATTAAAGCATCAAAGTAGTTATTGTAAGAGTGGGTTCCTTCTATCCCCACAGTTTAAAAGACATCACCACCTGTCATTCACCTGTGTTATTTTTGTTTTGTTTTGATTTTTTTCTCCTGTTTTCTTTTTTCTTCTTATTGGTGAACTCTCTCCAGCACTCTTCAGATAAGTCAGGTAATTTCAGTAGAGTGCCCTAGGCTTAGCGAGAGGAAAATGGGGAAGCACAATGCATTGGTGGGCACAGGCTGAGGCTCAACAGGGTTGGGCTCCCTTCTCTGATGTCCTGTTTCACACGGGGGAGCCGGGGAAGCCTCTGCAGCTCAGTTCCCTTTCCTGTTACACAATGAATGGTGTGTCTGGGGGACATGGCAAGCTCTGGGCTCTCCCACTCAGAGGAGAATGCGAAGAACCGCCGAGGCCAAGGTATGAAGGTCTTGTCCAAGCATCAAAGGAAGACTCTTCAAGCTCTTCCTTTCAGATGGCACGAGTCTTTTCCTCTTGCATACCTTGGCTTCTTTCTTTCGTTTGCTCTGTTCTCCTTTGGATTGCCTTCTCCCTTGGTGTGGGTATGACAGGGCTGGATGATTCCCAGCTTCTCTACAGCAGAGAAGTGAGTGCCTTTCTTTGGGACAAACTCTCACCCTTGAAGTTCATTTAGTTTGTCATCTTCCACAGCCTCTCCTGACCAGAATGTTAAGACTTGGAAGGTCGAGGCTATAGAGTGGGCTCTGTAATTTATTTTTCAAAGAAGGCCCTTCCTTTATCCATTCTTGATTCACTCATTTACTGAAATGTAATGAGTGAATGGGTAGGGTACACCCAGAGATGGAAATGACAAGGTCCTTGCCTTGTAAAGATGACAATGGAGGAGGGAAGGCCAACATTACAGATATCTGACAACGAGAGTTTTAAAAGGGTAACATCATGACAATCAGAACTTGTTATCACTCCAACCACAATCTATGAACTAAACAGCTGGTGTTTTTCCAGGTAAAGTGTAAAGTTATGTTTAGCAACTTCTGCTGATTTTCAGAGCTCTCCTGGAGCATGCATTTGGAGGTCAACAACTCCCCCACTACTTTAGATACTGAGCAGAAGGATTTGCTATAAATGCAGCATTCGCTTCTGTAACCTTGCAATTAACTGAAGTGCTGAATTTATTCCAAGAGGTACTTTATTCAGTCATCTCAGAGTCTATGCATGATCTTCCCCCTTACGTTTACTCCCTACTTGAATTTTGCTGATTCTAGTACTATGGTTCCCTTGGTCCTCGAGATTTTTTTCAAACCACACATCTAGCATATCGCCTGGTGGATGCCCACCTTTACTTCAAATGCAGCAGGACTTACCATATTTGATTTTTACAGAGAAGTCACTTGCTTTTTTGAAGTGTTGGGTCAAAGGGTTACGTATAAATTGACATACGTGCAACTTATTTTTCAATAGCAAATCTTAACTGTCCCCACTGTCCAAAGTACTAAAGTTAACCTATTAATTATATACCTTTACTAAAAAGATCTGGCTAGAGAATATGTGAAAAACAAAACTGAAACTGCTGAATTTCTTCACTGTATATTTATAATTAACAATCAGACTGCTACCGAATCTGTTTTCAGAATTTCTAAAATATGCTGCTGATATGAGGGAGGCTTTTCAGCACAACTTCAACAAATACAGGCCTCAAATCAAATCAACAAAAACAATCTTTGCAATTGTTGACTTTTCATTGGGATTTGTGCATTAAATTTTAGCAGCTATGCTTGCTTTTAGATTTGGGAATGTTTTTTTCCTGCACAAAGTAACTGTAAAGAACACAACTGATAAAAATGTAAGTGCCTCTTTCTACACTTTGTACATGATTTTCAAAGAGCAGTTATTAGTTTTCTTATCCATAACTATGGGTCCAATGTAATTATTTTATTCCTCAAACAGCTGTCATGGATCCTGGCATGCACTTTTTCATTTAAATATCCCTATTTCTTGCTCATATTTACTGTGGCAATTGTCATCCAATGCCAGATATTTGTACACATGCCCATTTTTCTAGTTTCATGGTAAGCTCCTTGAGGGTAAGTACCTGACCCGGGGAAGGGATACAAATGAGACCAGGCATCTCCCATTGCCACAACCCCTTCGTGTTCACAGTGACCACAAGAGAATCAAGGAGAGGAATACCAAGCTCTGTAGGAATACCTAGAGAGCTAGGATTGCACTTCATCCCTAACTGTCTCCAGACAAAGGGAGGAGATTTAAAATATCCTCAAACTTACAGCCCAGTACCCTTACTGATAGGGCTCACAGCAGTTCGGATAACGTGCTCACAACCGGTTGCAAAATTAATGCAATGTCTTAGCATGCCTAAACTAGACTAGACCAGGTACTGAGTAAAGGAACTGAGGCAAATTTATGCAAAGGGAGTCTGAGGGGCTGCAAAGAAGAAACAAAGAACTGTGACGAGATGGCATGCGCTAGAAAATCCAAGCAACGTTAACTGAGAGCAAGCAAAAACAAGATGTGCAGACTGACGGAAGAGGATTTGAAATTCTCCACTTATTCTTAGTAACATGGGACCACAATAAATAAATAAATAAAGTGCAAGAGGTTTTAAATGTAATCCGTGTGCTGAGGCTGAGGCTGCCACATTGTCTTGGACTGGTTCGTGTCTGTGTCAGCAGGGAAATGGGGTGCTTTTCCTTACCTCCAGATGCTCTAAAATATAGGGTGGATTTGTCATGCCAAGCCTCAGCATTGCTCCCTCAGGAATCACTTCAACCAGTTGCCACAGCAGTGCGGGGAGATTGGTGCCAATGTCCCTGCCGTAAGCCCCTGTGTCTTCACTGGTCAACCATATCTCACAAACACCCTCTGTGAATCAAAGGAGATAATTAACAAATCTGTTGCAGAGCTGTTTCCCTCATCATACAGCTGTTCACTCTTTTTAATGCAGTATTACTCAACACCATTATGCAGGCAGTCTGGGTATTCAATTGCAGAAAAAAAGCAGCTTATCCCATGGTGGCACTGGGTTATTAAGTTCATTTTATGAACACCAGAGAGTTACAACAATGCTGTAAATTATCGGTGAGTTCTATGGAGTGATTAACATTCACAGCCAATCAGTTCAACCGTGCTTCCTCCAAGGCACTTTGATCAGGACTAAAGCGACAATCCCATCACAATGAATACCTATTTTATTGAGCACCGTAAGCCTTGGAACTGAAACAGTCACTGAACAGAATAGGTACCATCAGGAGTTAACTCACTAATCAGTCTGTCAACAACCCAAAGGAAAATGTCAAGTGTAGTTAAGGTTTAACTCACAAATTATTAATTATGAGGTACCCATTTCTCCTGCGGTAACTATTCTAATTTGTTTTCTTTATTCAATTAAGAGTAGAGTGCTCTGTATTGCTGCACTTAAGGAAGTTGGCTGCTGTATAAACTAAGTATTTGTGCCGAAGAACCTGTTTACTGACAGCGTGCATCCTATTTTCCATCCATCAGACTTTAGGAGAATGTCTGTATGTTTTGTTGTTATTGTTATTATAAGGAATCCTGACTTCAAATATTATGGCCTGCAATAACATCCTTCCAAAAATCAGAAAGAAATATGTCTGGATAATCTAGTATTATTTAAAATGAATAAAAGAGAGTTAGCAAGAGCCACCCAGGTTTTCAGAACCTTTCTGAAAGCATATTCGATTAAAGGATTAGCCTGTTTTAAAAGGCCAAATGATTCACACAAAGCTAAGACCAACAATCAAATAGCCCTGTGAGATTTGTTCATGCTGAAGTGATTTGTTGCTTCAGAAGAACCTCAGCACACACACCAGGCCCACAAAAACGACAGCCTGACCCGAAAGTATACTTTTCTAGAAAGAGTCTTCAAATTATAATTTTAAATTGTCTTTAGTTGATGGAAGAGAAGAATTTTAAAAATACATTTAAAGAGTCTTAGCCAAGAGAGACAACAAATAAAACATGTGGCTTTTGGTGAATGTGAACTTAAAAACTTACAGAAAAGAGAAGCGAAAAGTAAAGGCCTTTACTCTCTTTAATGCCTTCCACAGAGGTGGAAAAATATACATGAAGCTGAGATCTCCAATAACTATTCTTTCCTCTAGAATAAGAGATATATTTACTTTCCCAAAAACCAGCCAAACCACATAACAACATGTTTCACTTTTCCCTACGGGTCTATCTTTCTGAGACATGCACATCCTCACACACACCCATACAACACAGAAAATACGAGGATAGGAATAAAATTTTAGTTTCCTGAAATTAAAGAATAACTTAGCATAGAGAACTGGAGGTATCAAAAAAAAAAAACAAAAAAAAAAAACCCAGCCCTATTTAAAAAGTTGGAGATGTTTTCAGTATCTGCAAATCATCAGTGCTACAGAATATATGGGTTTTCTTTATTTCAATTAAACATGTAGTTCCAGAAATCAATAAAAATTTGCTTAGTTTTAATCATTTAATAAAAAGTTTTCTCTTCAAAAGAAATAGTCTGCCATGTTCATAGGTTACCTTTGTAGTCTGACAATTTTATAAATACTCTCCGTACATGGAGTAAATATTTTTCTATTTTAAAAAGAAGGGTTGCAATTAGTGGTATCATCTTTATTTGAATATCACATATACCATCATACAGTGGACTCCTACAACCTTTTTTTGGGGGGGGGGGTGTTTTTAAACTTATCACAAAATCCACTCCAGGAAAAGAGACGGCTAAAGTAACAACATATATGGATTTTAAAACACTCTGAAAGAGGTTATAAAAACAGGACATTATCCATGATTTTCCAGTTACTGGCACTTGAGCAACACAATATGAATATTTTAAAATGAACAGAATAATTTTAATTTATAATTTTTCCATCCAAATGGTTCCATGTTACGCCTTATGTAGGGAGAGCGAGTTCCTGGAACAGTGCCTTGCTGTTGCTAGATGAATATAGAAGGGGGAAGATCACTATGAATAGGAATGGAGATAACATCCATGCAGAAAACCATGGATAGGTGGGGACCAATAGCCCCCTGGTGGGCTGAAACTTCAAATTAAATCACATAAAGAGGAAGCAGCTGTAACACTAAATCAGCAACAACAGGAATAATGGTCTTGATGTCTCCAAGATCAAGGCTGCTAAAATGCTCTATATAATAGCAACCTGGGTTAAAACACAATGAAATGAGAGCACATGTGCAAAATGTGAAATCCCAGGACTTTCGGAGAATTGGGCCTTGCCAATTCTATCCCCTAATTTGTCAGAGATGGTTTTGCTCTTAATCAATGTGAGAAAGTCAGATTTTGCAAGGTTCTATCTCAAGAATTCCAATGAGTTCTGATCCTTCAAGTCGTTAGGATATAGAAAGTCATTTCATACAAACGGTGAAGCTAAATGCAGAATCCCCATCCTGACATCCTTTTCTCTGGGAAGTCCTGTGATTACTCACTGTGCAAGCAGTTCCTGTCAGGTCAGCTTGCATATGAATTCACCAGGGAAAGTGAAGGCTGCAGTCTGTGATCACTAATGGAGACTGGGACACACGCATGCTTCTAGCTGCACACTTAATTGGCTATACTTATGGACAGAAGGGCTTGCCTAAACAGCTTCCCTCCTTAAGGACTTCAGTTATGAGCTATACTCCTTTGCACATTCATTTCTTTATTGGTCTATCAAACATTTATTAAGCCCTTACCTACTATGTGCCCTGCATCAATTCCAGCTCATGACAGATATGGATTCATCATTAAGCTTCTGTGAGCTCACACTGGCTATTATCCAGGAGCTGGCAACGGGACATTAACAGACACCCTGGGAACTTCACATACATCCCTATCAGTGGTGGTGGAGGCGGAGGGGGTGGGGACTGGAGAACACAGCCTCAGAAACCAGAATGAGAGGCGAGCTGGGCTGGCTCAGAGTGAGGATGATGTCAGCTACAATGAGATAGGCCCAGTCTGCACTCCAACGTGGACTTTGATGAATACGTGTCAGAAAAACAAACACACAAAAATAAAAAAGAGACGCAAGCAGGAAGAACTGAGATAAGAGTAGTGAATGCTCAGTAAAAACTCCCAGGCCTGTAAAAATAAATACGTGCAAAAAAAGAAAGTAGGAGGTGGAAAAGTGGGAGACAGAAATTAGCTTTTTATAAGCATTGGAGGAAAGATTTCACTTTTTCCATCTGATCTGATTTTTTTCATCCATCTGATTTTTGTTTGTTTTCCTGAAATTGTCCATTTTGCCTTTTCTAATGAACATAAGGTTCATCAAATCATCTACCTTCCTTTTGTTGTTGTTAATTCTGGTGAAAAGATGGGCAAATACTAGGAAGGAATGAAATGCATCTTACCAGGGAAAATCCTCTAAACAGTTCAATTATTCGAATCCATTCTCATTTTACCCAAGTAATTACAGATCAGCCTATACTTGAAACACATGGTATTTTTTCCCCAAATGGAGAACAACCTCCACAGCTGGACTCTGGTCTCTGCTCCACAGTAATTTGAGAGGACAGAGGACAGAAAAAGGAGAAGACATAAAAGGTTCACAATAAAAGATAATATCCTCAAATAAAAGAGTCTCACAACAAAGAAAATCCTTTTTGAAAAATCAAACTTTGCCAAAACTCAATTTCAAAAGCTTAGGACTCACTGTAACTTGTCCTATGTAGGGGCTTCACTTCAACAGATGAAAATGTGGGCAAAAACTGATTTCATCTAATCAGAGAACTGACTTTTTCCTCCAGTGGCTCTTGCTTCATCGTTTGGAAAATTTCTACCATACTAAGGTGATTCATTTATTCCACTGGGAGTAGAGTCTCTAAAAGTAAGGATTACAAAAACAGGAAAACTGTAAACAGTGATTAATGGGATCGAAAGTTTAAGAGGACCAGATAGCCAGAAAATCTTTATCCATGACACAGAATAAAAAAGTCACCTCAAAATCTGCTAAGTCTTTCTTCCTCAGAACATGCTTGCTCTCCTCTTATCCTTCTCTCTTGCTCCTTTCATTCCTGCCCTTGCCCTCCCCTTCCTTCTCTTTCTCCACCATCCCATTCCATCATTCAATCTCCATCTTCCTCAAAGGCCAATAAGGAATATGAATTAAACATACATTATGTTGTATTTATTTAATATGCATTCAATTCTCTGCTCTTAATTCCTGATGCTCTCTTTTAAGGGTGACAAGGGCATATTAATTAGATTTTTATGGGTTTTTGTTTTTTCTTAAAAAAAAAACACTTAGAAAATTCACAAATAACTATGACTCTTATTACGCATTTGAAGAGTCATGAAAATTTCGTCAATGGTGATGCTTTTAAGTAATAATATATATATAGACAGTCCTCCACCTAATTAATCTATTCACTTAATAGGGAATTAGACAATATATCTTCTTCGGTCCCTCCTAATACTATTATTGGATGCTCAAGAGTTTTATAAAAAACTCTTTTCAATTAAAAAAAAAAAAACAACCCTAAAGTGACAATATTATTAAAGATAGCATCATAACAGGACCAACCATGGCTATCCTGGATAAAACAAGGACATACCACCGATAAAGACAAGTATTAATTACCTAATTCTTCAACTATAACATTTATACTATCTTTGCAAACTAACAAAAGTTACCAGAGGCATGAAGGTGTTTTTTTGCTAACTTTTTATTTTGAACAATGTTACATTTATAGAAAAATATCAACAGTAGTACACCTAATACCCATATCTCCTTCACTCAGACTCCGGAACAACAGTTTGCCACATTTGTGAGTGCACTCACTCTCTCTCTCTCTCTCCATACGGATAAGCACACATGGTTGTTTTTTTTTGTTTTTTTCCGAGAATTGGTTGC